ACCCCTCATTCTAATGTAGGGTACTGTCCCTTGCAAATGAGGGTGATTTTATAGAACCTTTGCTTGATGGCTAGAAAGTCTGAATGTCACTGTTCCTCTACTCAGGCTGCCTGGCTCCTTCTGTACTCTTCAGTGTAGCACAATGTCACTGCCCAGGGCATAGCTGGCTGACTGAGCACCTGAACCCAGGCCACCAGGAGGGCAGTCCAAAAGCAGTTAAGCAGTGCAAATGTCAGAACCAGGAGTTGAAGCACAAGGCAGACCCTGTTGATGAGACAGATGTGATCAGACAATCCAGCAGTTAGGGAATGGAGAAGAAATGCTTAGGTAAATAGGTACCTTACAGGCTGGAGCAGGTGCAAGAAAGGGCCAGAAAACCATGCTGGGTCACAGGCGGGGTAGGAGCAGAGTTCCAGGAGCAAGATCCAATAAACCACAAACCAGGAGCACTTCAGCAACTCAAGAAGCCTTTGCTGCTAAGACATTTTTTGAAGGCAAGATCCATTCTTCCCCCAGGGCTCCCAGGTGGAGTTCATGAGAGCCCTGGTAGCTGCAGCAGATTGGGGTAATAATCCTGTGACTACAAGTGCTGCTGTGCTGGTCCTTGACCTGCAGAAGGAGCCCTTAAGCTGCCTTGCATCATGAGGCACAAAATGAGTCCTCCATGCAGTACAAAGCAAAACACCAGCACACGTCATTACCATCTGTAATGAGCAAGAGAACGGACCTGCTCTCTACGGGTTTGTTGATATGGACCAACACAGGCGTCAACTCTCCTGTGAGGTGGCTACATAAGCACCGCTATGTCACTGTGCGGAAGCCACATGTGGAAGACTCAGATCCAGCTTTGCAGCAATGTGTGGAATGCAGCCCTTACCACCTGAAACCCTCACCTCAGTACTCTGCCTTTCTTCTTTAGCTACAGCTGAGGATTTTCACCCTGTTAGAAGCAATGAAAGAATATTGATCAATTATAATTTGCTGATTTATGTAACATGTATATAAGCATGTAATCATTTTACTGGAATCTAGACTTCCTAGAACCTCAGTCCCCTATCAGCTGCATGCAGGCTATATACTGCATTTTCCTGTAACCTGAAATGGAATACTGAGAACATAGATAAACATTTTTGTTGTTGTTAATTCAGCTGCTGTTGATTCATCTGCTCCAAAGAGTTTGAACATGAGCATTAAATGTAAGTATGACTTGTTTTGTTTTCAAAATAATGCCTGGGTTCACCTTGTTTGGTCTGGAAATATTTCTTTTGGATGATCTCTTCCTTGCTTGCAACATTCATGTCATTTAGAAAAATCACAATGCTTTCAGTGTACCATAGGGCATAGCATCAACCTAATGTGCTTTAAGGTTGTATGGCTGTGCTAAATTCAGAATCTTAGTGATTAATGAACTTCTGTTAATTATACATTTGAATCTGATTCTTACAGCATTTGCCATACCGGTGGCAGAGCTGAGCATGTATTCTGACCATGAAAGGACAAGCAAGAACTGACTTTCCGAGCAGGGAGCCATGGCCCATTATAAGCCATTTATTTTTAAATGTAGGACCATTGCTTTGCATCCTAATGCCACCTATAGGCCGAATGTGATTTAGTAAAATGTTCCAAAGGAAAAATGCTTCAATCCATATCATCATAATACATTTATTGGCCAATAAAGGGCACAAAATATTGTGCGAGTTTTGGGCTTCTTCCAAACTCTTCATAAGGCCAGATGACAAATAAAGCGAAAGGTGTGGGTGTTAGAGAACACTGACTAATATTAAAGCTGCAAAGTGTGTGCCTGATACCAGGCACTGAGCTTTTGTCCATTTTTTCTCTTCCCATAAGGAATTGGCAGGTGTAAGTTACAACCATCTCAGCACTTGTTAGACTCTAACTCAAACCTCCGTGGCCTCCTCCCATACAAGTAGTGGACATGTCAATTAGTGGTCGCTCCTTTTTCCATGGATCAGACAGAAAATATCATTTCACCAGAATACCATTTAATGTGGTTTTAGCCTCTCTCCTGCTGTTTCTTTGCATACATAAAAGGTGGGAAACATTTTGGTGGGAAATGAGATAACATAAAAGGTGGGACACAGCACTTGTTATCTCATTTTAAAATCAATTGATGGCCATGTGTGAAGGTAAGTTACAAGGGTAATCATATGCATATGAACTCTGAAATAAGTCCATTAAAACCCACCCTTGTGGTTATCCCCCCTCATCATACCCCCACCACTGATCTTTTGTGTATGAGCTGAAGATCTGAAGAAGTCAGATTTAGGATGTTCCATCAAGGGTTAGATTTTTTTACCCGATTTGTGTCTTCCGCCTGCCTGGGAAAACTTCCAAAAAGCTAAGCTAGTAAAATTCACACTCTCCTTTGGCATTTTGACTTGCTGGTCTTTCCTTTTTGACGAAGGGAAGGATGTTTTCAGGCTTGAGGGTTTTTTTAAATCTTTGTTGTTGGTGGTGGTGTTGTTGTTTAGCATTAATTCATCATTGTGATATTGTTGCTTTAAACTTGTAGTTTATGATATTGTTTGAATACGGCATTTATTAAAGGGACACAGCAGTTCCTCTTTGTTTAAGTGAGCTGCAAAAAGAAAAAAATGTTTCCATCATTATAAGCCTCAGTATTTTTTGTCTTGTCAAAATGATACCTGTTGAACTAGTAACTTGAGAGCTGGGATTCTTGATCTACCATGTGATGTTTGCAATTTTGCAAAAGTTCAAGCCATTCCTATAAAAAGCATCACAGTTAGAACAAGTTAAAAAGTACTGAGTAACATGTTTACCCTTTTTACTTCAACTAGTGGCATGACACATCATGTACTGCTTTCACATTTTCACATGTATGTATTTATTTTACGTACTTTGATCAGACTTATCATGAAAGTATGCCTTTCATTGGTTTTACAATATTCTGAGCAGAGGTTCAAAAATCATTAAGGTTTTTCTGTCCCTTTATAACCGACAGCAATGACTATTTGTAAAGTTATGTCATGTATGTTTGGTTTCATTCTGAAGCTACATTGCTTCCCATGTTTTCAAAGGAGTTTGCAGTTTTCTATGTTTATTTGTGAAATGTGGCCTCAAAAGGTCAGGTTACATATTACTATACACATTGGGATCCTAATGTGTGTAGGAAGGCTGATATTTAAGACTATGCATCCCTCATACTATGGTACCAAACTGGATCAGGGCTTCCCATGCGCCAATTTAAATTGCCAAAAGGTATGCCTCCAACTGTAATACAAACTGGCGGTATAGGGCAAAGTGTTGAAGTTCTCTACCCACCACTCTAGGGACCTGGACAACATGCTTACTTTTGACCAAATACACAAACAAAAAGCTTCAGCTTTCAAATAACATGTCATTTGATGCTCAGGAAATTTGGGGGGAGCGATGGAATGCACAGCGAAGAAAAGCAGAAGGATGGGTTCCTTGTGCCACATTTCTGAAAGCAGAAATGCAGCACAAGCACCAGTATCCCAATCTTCCTTTCCATGGTGGTTAGGAACAGAAAATGAAATTGAGGCCCAAATGCTAATATTTTGAAAGCTGAAAGAATGCAAGAGCCTTAATCTTTGCTGTTCTTTCTTTCTGTGTGAGGAAAAAATGTACAATATCTTGTCTCATACAAGAGATAGCCACAGGTTAGCAAATCCAAATGTGTTTGTATTCTATGTGTCCTCACTGAGACAAGCATAATAATCTAGTCCTGTTCTGCTCACGTATGTTCTGCACATGTGGAAGAAAAGGAAGAATGAGTCCACCGGCTCTGCTCTGCTCCTCTCTTCCCCCTCCATGTTCTTATTATCTTCTACACATGGAGGGCAACTGTTCACAAAGGAGAGCCTTCTCTATCAGTGGAAACTTTCCACTATATTTTAGAATCCTGCTGCTTGACATAAGTCAAGCATGCCAAGTACAGTTTTCCTTTCAACATTCTGACAGTAGGGGAGGATTAGCGAGAAATGTTGACTGAGACGAGAGTGAGGCACTTTTGAGGGCTGAAAGGGTCATTTGGCCTGACAGATCACTGACACAGAAAGGGAAGGCTCTCCTGGAATCCTGTGCAAGTTATGTGGAAGAAAGCCTTTCTGAACATCTGGGGCCACATCTATTCCTGTGTAGACATCTACCCACTTTTGCCTTTCTTTTATTCTTTCATTGCATTTCATTTATTGCATTTCTGTACCTTCCAATAGTCAAAACTCCCTGGTTGGTTTGCAAAGATTAAATCACTGAACTACATTATTGTGTACAATATAAAAACCATTGACATGGAAACCTGTAACAGACAGAACACACACACACACACCATCACTACCTATACCTAAACAATTTTAACAATGAACAATGAGAAATCCCAGGAGTCCCATTACAAATGTAATCATACACTGCCAAATGCCTGAGAACATAGCAAGGTCTCTACTGGTTGCCAGAAAGATAATGATGTTGGTGCCTGGAGGGCTTTGTTGGGCAGATAGGTAAATGCTTGGGTCACCGGCATTGAGAAGGCCCTTTCCCTTGTTGCCACCTTCTGAACATTCCTCAGAAGAGGTAACTGGAGGGATGCTCAGATGAGGAATGGTATGTGTGAGTTTTCCCCAGATAAAATGATAAAATCCTTTTTAAATGAGGGAAATTCAATGAGCCAAAAATATGCTGGTTTTAGTTAATGCTTTATGATATTACCCATGTTCACCAAAACCAGACAATTGGAAGCTGCTATTATTATTATTATTATTATTATTATTATTATTATTATTATTATTATTATTTACAGTTCTGTATTATCAAATATCCAAAGCTCTCTGTGCCATTTACAAAAGATTAAAATCCTTAACATGCAATATAAAACATAAAAATAACAACATAATATAACAACAATATCTTGCAATTTAAAACTCTCAGCAATATCATAAATCGCAAGACTCATTAACGTTTTATCATATGTTAGCAAGTGAATGGAAGCAGAGGAAAGTCACACTGAATTGGGCTCAGAAACATACAGGCAGCCAATGCACGTGGGCCAGAATTGTTGTTACATGTTCAAATGTCTGCCTTAACAGATATTTGCCATATTACGCAATGTTGCAGGTTATGCTTGCTTTCAGTTTCCTCTCCCTCCATCCACTCTTTTCCTCAGTCTTTCAAGCTTAAATCCATACAGGGAAGATGGAATGCCTGGGATCAGAGAAGGTGCCCCGTTTCGTCCTGGCCCCACAGTGCCTTATGAAGCATTTGAGCCCTGCTAGGATGATAGAAAAATGTTCTTCTGAATTGACCTACATGCATGTATGGTTTGTACCCATAGCTGGCAGGATGGATTGAACCAGGCTTGATGAACTCCAGATATGTTGGGCCACAACACAATAAGGAGCAAATGCTTCATGAGGCAACACATGGCCAAAAGTCTATTCATTTATCTCACTTTTATTCCTCCCAGTAGCTGAGACTCTCTGGGCAGTTGGTCATGTTTAGGGTTTATCCATGGAACTTAATGGGATCCACTAGTCATTATGACTAACTTAAATTTCATTCAGTTCAGTGGGTCTACACTAAGCATGATAAGTTGGATCCAACACATACCATCTGTACTACATAGAGGACTGCAACTCACAACTCTTCTGCATAAAAGGAAACCAGTAGAGGTGGTAGTGGTAGTAGCTGTTATGAGAAAGAAGGACTAATTTTCAATCTTGATTAAGTATTTCATGTCCTATAAATCAAGCCATTGAACAAAAGTAGTATTTGTCCCTTCAGGTAAACCAGATTTGTTTGTTTAAAAGCTACTTCAGAGGGAACATTTGTCCTTCAAGCTCTTTGGACTGACAGTTTTCAAGCAATGCTGGTGCAGTTAGTACTTTGATTGCTGGAAAGCAGGGTTCTGATGTTTTCTGGCTAGATGCTCTACCTTTGATCATGAAAAGTCATGAAATGACTTGAGGCCTCAAAGCAGCATTAATGCTTTGTTCTCTGATGGACAGCTTGTTTAGTGTGAAGACCACACTGAGCATTTATGATGGCTGTAATAATGGTGCTAGTTTTCATGATTTAAAATGTGTGGCTGCCTAGGGGATGCTGGGAGTTGTAGGATTTTTCTGTCTAAATAGCCATAGGATTGGCCCTTCAGTTTGCATGAAGATGGCAAGACCAGCTGCAACATTTATTGTACTGCATA